ACCACCGACCCTCTAGATGATATGAAAAACAGAACATACGTGCTTTCTTTCTGCAATCCATGCAATTTTTTGTTTTATGAGCTTCTGTGCCGCATAACGGAGAAAGCATGTTTTCCAACGTGCTTTTGAAATAATCATGCACTACTTCTAAGACAGTAGAAAAAAAAATCGCACTAATATTAAATATTAAATATTAAATATATTTACTCGAATTGGCGTCCATAGTAATTTTAACAGAGTAGCACAGGAATAAAAATGTTAGTGTCGAAAGTCTAAATACGACTAAATCGGTAATATAGGGAGATTTTTATAAGACGGTATACATTTTTAAAGCTAAACAATAAGGAATACCCTAGTTGACAGTGATATATTCGGTGACGCCGAACGCATATGGTTGATCAGGTCTTGATAGTTTAAATACAATTAAATCGGTAGACTTTTGTAAGAAAAACGATACTTTTATCAAAATATGTTTTCATACACAGAACATAATATATACCGAGTGTGAGAGGTTTAGTGTCACTGGATATATTATAAATAAGAGTAGGTATTTGGACAAAAAAGGATTTTAACAGTTATACATAAAAATGTTATATGGTTGATATATTCGGCTGATTGTCTCCGTTAATACTATACATAAAAATGTGATATGGTTGATATATTCGGCGGCGCCGGACAAAAAACAAACCGTGTCTGGTAAGGTTTGGCGCCACTGGATAATATATATATATAAGAGTAGGTATTTGGACAAAAAAGGTGCAGCGCGTTTTCATCAGTTTGTTATAAGCTAGTAACATACAAACACGTTATTTCAAAAAAATGTCTAATTCATCACAAAGTGATTGGGGAGATTATAATAGACGTTTATCACCGAGCTTGTAGCCGGATACTATTAGACGTCATCAACAGCCTATGGCACAAAATCCGGTATATAGTCCGGATGCACAGCCCTTTGAACTATTAATAGAGGACTATAACAACAGGCTCAGAAATCGCGCCCTGGTAAGTTTATATTTTTTAAAAAACAAAACATAAAATACAAATCCCAATATTATTTAGAACCGAACTGGAGATAGCGGCTATTTAACAAGTCCGGAGTCACCCATAATATATTAATGGATAATTGGGAACGATATTTTCCGAGCCCAATTCATGAACCATCGGTACCTCAAAATACACCGTCACAAAATACACCGCCGCAGTACAATGAAATATCGTCGCAAGATTTATTTCCAGAACTTGAATCATCGTCATCTATAGATTCACCGAATATGTTAATTCCTCGTGCGCCTATAAGATAACACACGACGCAGCCTTCAGACCAGCCGTCAGTCGAAATGGATTGGAGTGATGATGGAAATAACGAGCAACTCTATAGACTTATGGACAAGTATGAGGGGTGGGGTAGTGATTATGACGAAATGAATGAGTTGATTTTAAAAAAAACATAATAAATAATATTTTTATTAACATACATACCTGAATTATTATTTCGTATATAACGTGTACAAATATTTTAAATAAAACACAAATATTATGTTAATGGGTGCGTGATAACATATATACAAAAACGTTCGTGATAAGAAATAATTTTCATTAGATGATAACACAAATGTTAACGGGTGCTTGATAACACGTTCGTGATAAGAAATAATTTTCATTAAATGATAACATCTTAGAAATAATATGTACATTTATACAAGTTAAATTGGGCTAGTTATTACTAATAAGTATATGTGGCGGGGTGGCGCAGTGGCACGGTGGTCGCTCACCAAACCACAGGCTTCGGGTCGAAACCCGGTCGGACGAAAAACTTTTTTAACTTATTTTCCCCGGGCGGCATAGAGTGCCGTCGGCGGCGGGCTCTGCTGCCGTGTGTCAGGGTTCTGCTCGAGAGCATAGGGATCTGCCAGCAGGTTCTGGTTCTAGAACTCTCTTTTTTACTCTACTTACATCTGTTCGTGGGTCATGGGCGTGAGTTACCTTGTGTTTCTTTTTACATATTAAACTATGTCCCTCGGTAAGGTTAAGTATCCTTCCCGATTTGTCATAGTATCCTACTTCTATTTCGAAAATGAGTTCCTTAGTTTCTACTCTTTCTAACTGCAAAAAAAATTGTCTATTTAAATATTTGTCATAGCAGCGTAAATTTAATAAAGGAAATTCCGTTAGCCCCAATCTTTTTAATATAATTTTGTCTGAACTCCCATGTTACTATTACGTTTATTTTGTTGTCACGCTGTATATAATTCCGTATGTATGTAACATTCAGACAATTAATTGGTGCCCTCAAACTTTGATTTAATTGATCTAAACAGACGTCTCTCATTTCCGTTTTTAAATTAAAGATACGCGCTAAAGCTGCTCGTGCCACTACTATTTCTTTGTCCTTCATTGGTCTTACTTCATCGTTTTCTGGTAATAATAGTGGTCTTCCTTCCAGTTTTCTAATTTTAAAACGGTCTAGACTGTTTGATATGGCACCTGACATTAGTACATAATTGGTCCTGCGAATGTTGGTGAATTCGAAATCTATGATTACGAATTTGTGGGTGTTTTTTCTATATATAACATGAACATTTTATTATAATTACATTATTTAAATATAGATTAATTACATCTTAATTACTTATATATCTATAATACCTTATCAGGTTTTTTATAAGAAAGCTCAATTGTGTATCTCTATAACAATTAAAGTTATTTATTAATCATATTAATATTTATACATTACATTATTTACTTACCTAAAACAATTAAAGAAACAACATTTAAAGCCCTTATTTCTAAATTAAATAAAATTATTTTTCACTATTTTTCATCTATTAAGACGTGTTTTACAAAATTGTACATAATATTAATTGTGATACTAAAAGAATAATAATAATAAATAATGGTAATTGATATTACATTTTAATATGACTGTGGCGCCATCCAGCGGTTTGTTGAGTAGGAACAGATAAAACAAATTAAAGAAACATACTCAAGTGACTGTTTTCTTTGCATCTACCCCCCACGAAAAAGAAACAATTGCAACTGTTTACATATGCAATAGTTTATTTACCAACATACACCTCCACTGGAGTCAGTTTTGTCACATGGTAGAAATTTGACTCTTCTTTTCTGTGTCCGATATCAACTTCATAGATTGAGTTTTTCTTCAGGATTTTGTATGGTCCAATCCTTAACTCCTCCAATTTCTTCCTATTCAATCTATTACCGTTTTCCACATATACTCTGTCTCCAATTTTAAAATTATGATTCTGCCTGTGTAAATCAAATATTTTTTTATTATGGTTGTGTGATTTTATGGTGTTTTTAAGAGCTAGTTTCCTGTCTCTTTGTAGGACTTCTCTTGTACATGTTTTTTTCAATTCGAGTGGTAGAACATTTACATTTTCACCTTCTAAAAGATATTTTGGAGCAAACTTCGTGACTGTATGTTCTGTCTCATTGTATTTTTCTACACACTTTTGTGCAATAGTAGTCCATGCTGTTTTCTTATTGTTTTCTTTATTTTACATCTGATCTTGTTTACTAATGTTTGGTTTAGTCTTTCGTTAAGTCCGTTTGAAAATGGTGCATCCACAGCAGTGAAAACCATTCTTATGTTTTCTCTCTCCAGGAATTGTTTAAATTCTTTAGAATTTATACCAGGGTATTGGTCTGTTAGAAGCATTTCAATATTGTAATCTTTTGTAATATTTTAGATTCTGAGCGGAGCGATGAATGTATTGGTTTTACAATGATGTATGTTTTTTTTTATATTTTTGTGTCTGTCATCACGTTTTAGGACAGTAAAAGTGCTTGGATTTTCTTCATCAGTAGCTTTTCTGGTAGGAAAGTGAATCTAGTTGGTACTTTGGGGGTCAAAAGTATAAATTTCCCAGTAGTTTTCACAAGCGCCGGGAAAAACAACATAAAAATTAAGGAAAAACGGGAATTTTTACGCAAAATTGGTTTTTCAAAAAATCGATTTTGGTTATTGGTGTAACTCTAAAACAAATGAACGTATGTACATGAAATTTTCACTGGTTGTTTATATTTGCATTTTCTATACACGATAACATTTTCAAAATATTTTGATTTATTTTGAACTGTTTAGGGACATTTTCATTTTCCATTTTTTTTTAGTTTTTTTTCTAAAAATATCAATAAAATTTTATTTATTGGTTGCGAAAGCTTGAAAATTTAATAGAAGGCTCCTAATATGTTGTTTCAAAGGCAGATGAAAAATATTAAAAATCCTTAGTCACAATATTTTTTTATAAGCATTTAAAGTTCAAAAATTGACAAAATATGGAAAAATCACGAAAATTAGCATATTATTTTGAGTTAAGAATTCGTAAAAATTTTTCTTTTTAAATCTAAGATTTGAAAATGAAACACAAGATTCCTTATAAGATTATCTACCTTTATCAATAAAAAAATCTCTACCGGACAGTCAAATTAAATTTTTATGAGCGTTTGAAATTCAAATTTTTACAACATTGGATTTTCACTCGATTACTCATGTAGCGATTTCCTTATTTTGTTGCAATTCAAAAACGAACAACTGTAGATACATGAAAATTTCACTCGATGTTTAAAGTAGCACAGTTTATTTTTACAGACATTTTAAATTCAAATTTGGACGGAATTACATATTAAAAAACCTAGAATAACTATTTTAGTTATTTTGTTGTGATTGAATAATATTATTCGTGGGTACTTGAAACTTCTAAAGTGTACTATTATATATCTATGATAGTATCACGGTTTTTGTTGATGTATAACGCGTTATAAGTATCTAATGGATATTGTGATATGATTAATTTGGAATTTATTATAGGTACCTATTATAGGTCAATTTTTTGTTTAATACCATAAATATGTATATAATATGTCTGATACATAGACTGACATACCGTCACCGCTCAGAATCGTTTTTCTTATACAATGATATTATATCATTGAATTCAAATTTAATACCATCCATTATACAGTGACCCACTTGTGACCTACTGTACAGCAGAGCGACACCCACTTGCCCACCTTTTTTTTATTAATTTTATAAAATCATTGGAGCTCTGGGTTTTTAATGTGCTGATACAAGCATACCTTGTAAAATGGTCGACCAGGAGATGTAGATATCTTTTAGTCGACCGTGATCCTCCAAAACCACCGATGGTATCAATAGATATGATTTCAAATGGTCGTGTTGCTGGACCCAAATGTGACATTAAACCATATTTTGGTTTTCTCCTCGATTTATTTTTTATACAAACTTCACATTTATCACAAATCTGATTAATGTTTTTTATGATATTTTTTGCTGGGTAGAATGGTGTTATTTTATTTGTCAACTGGGTTCTTCCAATGTGGCAGTAAGTATTATGGACATCTTTTATTAGTATTTTGCTATGTTGTTCTGATAGTATTATTTTCTCTCTTCTTTTATTCTTTTTATAGTAAATTTCTTTCTCTAATATTAGTTTCATATTTTTTAAATTTAAATTTTTTTGTTGGTCTTCTTTTATATCTTTAAGGTTTATTAAATTAACCACTTTTAAAAAATCATCAATGTTTTCATAAGGTTCTAAAACTGGATTTCGGCTTAAACAGTCTGCTTCTTGGTTTGATTTACCTGGGTTATATTTGATTTTGAGATTATACTGGGATAAATAATACATTAAATCCCCTAGTTCCTCATCAGTTCTTGCCTTTATGTTCATATTTTCTAATGGTTTATGGTCTGAGTAGACTATGAATTCCTTTCCCATAAGCCAGTGTTGCCAACATTCACACATTCTTTTATTGCAAGACACTCTAAATAAATTGCCTTTTTTCTTTTTTGGACTTCAGTTAGTTTTTTTGAAAAATATGCAACCGGCTTAATATCTCCGTTTTTATCTTTTTGTTTCAACACCGCACCTACTCCTTTAATACTAGCATCTGTGTAAATGTTTATTGGTAGTTCAGGATCAAAGATATTTAGAAGTGGGCGTGAACATAGCATCTCTTTTATTTTATCAAATGATTCCTGACATTCTGTGGACCATATGAACTTTATGTTTTTCCGCAATAGATTGTGTAATGGAGATAATTGCACTGTGTGGTATAAATTTATGATGAAAATTTATTTTTCCTAAGAATTGGCGTATATTTTTTTTTTTCTGGAACGGGAAAATTTTGGACAGCAGTTAAATAATCTTTCAGTGGCTTTATTGAATTGTTTTCTATTATGTGACCTAAATATTTGGCATAATTTTTTGCAAAAATACATTTTGGAAATTTTAGTCTAAAACCTTCTGTTTGGATTGCATCTAATAGTCTTGATAGATGTAGTATATGTTCTTCAAAAGTTTTTGAAAAAACTAATATGTCATCTATAAAATTTACTGCAAAACTACAAAGTTTGTATTTTCTTATGATGTTGCTCAAAATCCTTTGGAAGATGGCTGGTGCTGTCTTTAATCCAAATGGGAGACATGTCCATTGGAAATGACCTTGTTGTGTCACAAATGCAGTTTTGTATTTATCTTTAATTTTCAATGGAATTGACCAGAATGCTGAATTTATGTCTAGAGTAGAATAGTATTTACAGTTAACAGTTTTAATCAATAAATCTTCAATCAACGGAAACGGTTGTGATTGTGGGATTACAATCTTGTTTAATTCTCTGAAGTCTATACATAATCTTGTTTTTTTTCCGTCTTCTTTTTTATATGCCAGAGTTACCGGGGCAGCGAAAGGGCTGCACGATTCTTCAATCAGATTCTTCTCTAATAGTTTTGATATTTGAGTTTCTATTTGTCTTCTATCATATTCTGTGCATCTATATGGACGTTTGTAACAGTATTTTTCTACCATCAAGTCAATATGAGCTTCATAATGTTTTACAGTACCGATATCATATTTGTCTTTGGCAAAGACAGGTTTATATTTTTCTATTAACTTTTCAATCTCTGATTGTTGGTATAAACCTAAGTGGTTTACTATAATTTCAAATTTATTTGTTTCTATATGTTCATTGAAATTTATTTCACACTTGTTACTTGTTTCTTGTTCTTCAGAATGTTTAAATATGTTTTCTTCATTTTGTTTACCTAGTACATCAGGAATTTTGTTATTCGTTAAGTTTGATGTATCATCTTTTTTGTAATTATTATTATTTTTATCCTCCTCATTTGATGTTAACTCCTTTTTTTCTTTGTCGTTTAATTGTATAATTTTTAATTCTTCATTTTGTATTAATTTAAAATTTTTAATACAATCTAGACCAATTAGAAAATCATAGTTAAAATTTTCATTATCTATTATGAATATATCCATACATTTTTCTATATTATAAATTTTTATTTTTAATGTTACCATTCCTTTTGTTTTCTTCTCACCATTAATTGTCCTCAAGTTTACTATTTGTTTATTATTTGTATATTGTTTTGGCTGTATTTTAAGTAATTTTGCATTTATTAATGACACATTTGAACCTGAATCATAAATTCCAGAAATGTTTAAAGTATCATTTAATAGTAACTTGATTCTTATTAATGGTGGTGTCTTTAGTTTTTTTGTTCTCATTAAGTTCAATTTCCAATTCAGAGTTATTGACAGTTTTAAAAACTGCTTTTTTGTTTTTCTCTCTAAACCAGCAACTTTCCTCAGGATGGTAACGGTTTCCTTTTTTCTCATTAACACAGATTTTGCATGGTTTTTTCTCTACAGTTTGTTTTGATTTGACATCTGTGTTTATAGTACTTTTTTTTCATACCTATTCTTCCCAACGGTGTGTTCCAATTTTCCTTTTTCATTGTAAAGATTTTCTGTGCCTTGTAAAATGTCTCTATCAATTTTATCAGCTACATAATTTGGTAGACCAAAAACTATGAGGTCTATAAGTGTTCCTGTATCAATCGATTTCCTTACTTCCAGTAATAATTTTTCTTTTTTTAAAGCATACTCAAGTAATGAACCTGTTTGATATTTAAAAGCAAGTGCATATCTAATGGGTGACCATCCTTTGTTTGCAAATGTATTACAAACATTTTTCTCCCATATGTCCCACTCTGACTCTACTGTAAGTTTCATTAGCATACAGCTGTACCACTCTGCGCCGGAGCATTCCAAAAAATGTTTCAAAATTTCAATTTTCTTTTTGTCCCCGTTGATCTGGAAACGTCTACATTCCTTATTAAAAATTTCCATCCACTGGTTAGCATTTGAGCTTCTGCCATTGAATTTATCTATCATGAAATCCTTAGCAATTGTTCCTAAATTTTGAGTATCAGATTTTGATTGTTTGCTTTCGAGCAATTTTTCTAACAGTTTTTCCAATGTTTGATTGGAGCCACTAATTGAAGGCTCAATGATTTGTGTTTTTTCTGTGATTTCCTCTAAATAAATATCATTAAACTGTAAATTTTTGTCTTCATCTAAGTATATTTTTGACATATCTTCCGTCATAGTTATCCATATTCTCCGTATTTGATGTCTTTTAGTTAATGATTTTCTTACCTTGGCATAGGTTGATGTGTTTGTAATTTCCTTGTGTATAACCTGCTGGTTGTGATTCAAGTGGTATTTCAAAAATTTTCCCGTCGGCTGTAGCTATTGATGTAATACATATGACGTTTGATTTTCCGTCCTCCGTTGGTTTCACGGCAAAATCAAACCTCAATGATTCCATGGTTTTTGTTGAACAGTTGTATTAAATGTTGTTTTATAATACCTTATCAGGTTTTTTATAAGAAAGCTCAATTGTGTATCTCTATAACAATTAAAGTTATTTATTAATCATATTAATATTTATACATTACATTATTTACTTACCTAAAACAATTAAAGAAACAACATTTAAAGCCCTTATTTCTAAATTAAATAAAACTATTTTTCACATAGGTATTAACTATTAAGAGGTGTTTTACAAAATTGTACATAATATTAATTGTGATACTAAAAAAATAATAATAATAAATAATGGTAATTGATATAACATTTTAATATGACTGTGGCGCCATCCAGCGGTTTGTTCAGTAGGAACAGATAAAACAAATTAAAGAAACATACTCAAGTGACTGTTTTCTTTACATATCTTTAATTCAATTAACTATTTTAACCATTTATTATTGATGGCAACTTAACACCTGTATTTACTTTACTTGTACTTGTTACTTCATTACCTTGCATAATATTTTCCTTAATTACGTTTTTATCTTCATTTATCTTACTTTGTATTATAGGTTTTTGTAATTCGTATGATTGTGGGTTATCCCTATTCATTGTTTCATACATTTGTTGCGTATAAAATTTACTCCTATTAATTGGTTCACCTATCGATATTGTCCTCCTAGTATTGGTTCTTTTCAAAACATCAGTATAACGGTATATTACATATAGTATTACTAGTATAATTAACAAAAATAGAATCAATCCTAATAAAACGTACGTCATATAATATTTAGTATCTTCTGCATTTCCACTCTGCCTATCTATTTCTTGGTCTATCATTGACTGGATGTCACTCAATGAATGAGCTAACTCATGTACATTATCTAATTTTAATAAATCATGTTTTTGTGTGTACTTTGGTATTGTTATTGCATCGAGTTGTGGGATTTTTAATGTCAAACTTCCTATACCTAATTTGGGAATGAAATTTATATAATATTTTGACTTGACCTCTCTGGTGGGATTTAAGACTATATCATTGGCATAAGCTCTTCATTCCTGTTTTAGATTAATTAGTCCTTGATTTTGTAACTTCACTATGTAAGGTTCTTGTTCGCCTTGACAAGTTATGGTCAATGTGTCACTAGTAGTAGTGTAAATCCATGTGTTGGCATATTTCAATTTATGATAAATATTTTTAGTAATTACTATAATTCCTGCCTCACAGTTACTAGGTAACTCATCCGGATTTTTGAATAACGAGACTTCACACGGTTGTCTAACCGATTCATGTTGTACGGGTTGAGACTCTGGACATATTATAAAAATCTCAGTTTCTGTACAGCTCAACAATTGAGTTTCAGTGAATGTTGTGAACTGTTTCCTATTTCTGGTTATTCCTACATACTGGAATTCGGGTTTTAAAATTACACTATGATGTGAATCAAATTTATGTGGAATAGGTATTATTTTGAACAAGGTTAATTCTAATTCGATTACTAGTGGAATTTTTATTAGAAAAACAATTTGGTTCCTCCTATAGTACACGGCCATTTTAGTTATTTTACTTAATTCATAAATTTCATTTGGTTTTGACCCCATAGGCAAATTTAGATTAACAGGTAAATTTAATTTGATTTGAGTTAGTTGTTTAGCCAGTTCCCTAGGGGTTACTAGACTTGGGTGTAATATTCCTGTTCTGGCAGCTGTTATTATGGCACTTATAGTCGTGGTTTCGTATGAAAATTGTGTGATTAATGCAGTGAAAATGTATGTATTCTGTCACTGAGCATCATTGTTTCGATAGTGTATGTATGATTTTCTGCTGTTTTTAGTTTCTTATAGATTTAACCCTGTTTGTTTACTAGTTCCTCATATAATGTATTAATTTCAGTGGATGTGTTTCCTATTCCTTGTACTACCGATTTGACTACAGTGGTTTGACTCTTTAAGATATGTAACATATTTTCATTGCTGGTTTCAATTTTTTCAATATTATTATTAGTTTCTTTGGTACAATCATCGTCGCATACTCCAAATAATGTTTTCATAGCACTACCTATAATGTTTATGAGCCCCCGTCTATTCCTATCAACCGTGGACATTTTATTATCAGTTCCTACGTATCTACCAATAGATTCATACATTTGTTCTCGTTGCGTCGCTATTTCTTTAAACGTGGTTTTTACTACATGTGCAAATCTTGTGCACACTTCATATTCAGATATTGTATCCTTACAGTTATGTGACATATTACTAATTTCATTGAATAATTGATCATACCGTTTGTCATAATTAATTAAAGGTACATAAGTTACAAGTTCCCAATGTGCTCCTACAATACTTAACTCGCCCTGATTTTCGAAAAATATAGCTGTCTCATTCTTAAATTCTTCATTTAAGTACGGAAGTTGCCCTTGAATGGTAGAAATGCATAACAACCTACATAAGAAATAATTCAAATTCATCATAACAATTTATTGTTATGGTTTCCTATAATTACATTAACTGTTCGTTACCTTCCGTTTTCATGTCATTTGGTTACAGTTTTACTAAAGGTCATGTAACCATGTTCATGTCAACTTCTATGTAATTAACAACGACAGTAATTTGTACTATCTATAACTAATATTTGTATAATTATATTCCCCATTATTTATATGTTTTACTTAATTCAATATTTCTAACTTAAATAATTACTTATGCATATCGTGAGTACAACCTTATCTATTCTTATGATTAATTTCTAGATCTATGCTTATAAAGACCCTATATTGACTACAATAATTCGTCCAGTACAGTATACATTTTTGCGCAACATGGTTACAGTTTACTAAGGGTCGTGTAACCATGTTCCACAACAACTTCAAGTACTGGAGATTTTTGGAATATTTTTGTTTATACTTGTGTTTCCGCTAGATCTATATCATCATATGATTTATATGAAGTAAGATTTATTGTATTTAAATAATTAAATCTATTTCTTTCTACCAATTTATAGTACCGTGCTATGTTAATTGCTGATATAATCATGACTAATATTACTATTCCCATTATAATACTTAATATATATATATATATTTTGATTCTAACCCGTTTCTATTAGTTGGTTCATTGCATATTGTAGTTGACCCTATGGATTCTTTAGATTCTGTTACATCCCTTAGTTTATTAATTTCAGTATTTTCTTCAACAATTGTGGCGTTCACGTGCGATTCCTTGACAGTGGTGACAACGTTGGATTGGGTGGTTGTTGTACCCAATTGCTTTGTGATATTTTCTTCATTTTGTACCTGAGTGGTTGTAGTAGGCGTAGAGATAATTGCATCTGATTTTATTTGTTCTGGAGAATTTGTTACTGTGCGTTCAGTGTTGTTTGACGGAGTGGTTGTTTCCAATTTTTCGGATAATGATCGTTTTCTGGTTTCCTTTTCTAGAGTTTCCATTGATTGGTTGTTGATTTGATAATTTTGATTAGTGGTGGGTTCTATAAGGAATTGTTTAATTATTATCCTGTCTCCTCTCAACCCGAATTGCATTATGGTTGCTTCTTCGTCGTCTTCTCCTTTCAATAATTGAATTGAACATAGGTTACCTACGTATACGGACAGATATGTTCCATCTGCTTGATCCAGTTTTTCACCGTCCATTGTTCCCTTGCAATTTATACGAATGGTTTGTAAATTACAGGTTTGTCTATAATTATCTGGTATCATTATATTGTTGTCCTTATAAATTGTCATACCTTGTACTACAAGTTCTCCTAGTGGTGTCTTTTTATTAAGTATTATCTTATTCGCTCCTGTTGTATCATATGTCACCCTTGCTTGTCCAAGAATCGCCAGTATACCAAACAATCTATAATATAATCAATTTGTTATCATTCTATATTCTTTGTTTGCCAGTAGGTCTTCTGGTTCGGGATTTACTCCATGTATAATAACAATGTCCTATGAAACCCTTGTTACGTCCCTACTTCGTCCTAGCATATAAATCGCGCACTACACCTAGTATAATTTTCAGTAAAAGTTCATCTGTCTTTCTCTAGCACACAATTGGCTCAATTAATTAGGTTTAATTAACAATTAAAAACAAGATATCTAATTTAACTATATAATAAAATAACCAAAATATAAAATTAATAAAAATTCAGATTTAATCCAAATAACGCCTTAACCTAACCGCTACCTGTTTTCGGCTTCTCGTATGGCCATTCCCCTTCCTCGTGACATGCACCTCATGGCATAATGACTCCATGCCTCGCGATTTATCTCTGGATTGGTTTCGCAGAACTCTTTTATTACTCTCCATGCCAAATTCAATCCGGCACGCAGCTCTTGTCTACTTTCTTCCCCTGTTAATGGAGGTGGCCTGATTTCACGGTAAAAAATGGTCGCCGTGCCTACGGGTGGTTTTACAGCTGGTCTGTTGACGTAAACAATCGGTCTTAATTTTACATATATAAGTAGATAACGACTACAATATTACTATATAATTATTAATCCTTATTGTTTATATTGAATTTTAATTTAAGTAAATAAAATTAAGACGTTAACACGTTAGCTACCGCTACCTATTACATGCTGCTCATAATTTATAGTAACAACTTAACCTAGTTGGAGTTCTCGTGATACTTTTCACGTCATTTTTGTGTACAGTGACCCTTCTTCTTCCCCTTTGGATAACAACATTTTCAGTGTCTAACACTTCTAAAATTTCGAAGGGCCCTTTCCATAACGGTGTCAATTTATTTCTTTGTGTATTATCTCTTAACAATATATAGTCTTTTACATGCA